CCCCACTCATGCTCTCATCCCCCTGTTATCCGTGTCCATTGGTTTGGCTTAGCAGATACTCTGTGAAGAACAAGAAGAAATGAGGTAAATGGTAGCTATACCTGGTGCACCCCTGCTTCTGTCAGGCCATTAATGAGGAATGATGCCGCTGGGATGCTGTTACCTTATGTTTGGAATGGGGCTTGCTGTGCTAGAAACATTTTCTTAGGGTTCCTGCTTCACTTTCAGATTTCAGCAATTACCACATACATGTGCCACGGAGCGGGATCTTTCTCTCTAGTCACCGCTTCTTCTTATTGGTGACAGACTGGTGTTGCTTGTTGCTGGTCCCACACAATAGAGACAGGAGGTGTTCTCTCTTTTGGATAAAACTAAGTCTTAAGCAGGCCCTGTGTTCCCAGTCCTCATGGGTAGTGATTCCTCACCATTCCTGTCCCTTCTGTCCATTGAAGCCATACTCTTTATCTTCTAACTATGACTAGTCTTAGGTAGGAGGTATCTTCCTGCCCCATGATCAGCAGTGGTAGATTTCTTCTTGATGTTGGTACATACCTTTGAGCCTCGAGACAGAGGGTTTTTCCTCTTACCCAACCTCATCAGCAATGAATTGTTGTTTGTGTGGTGGGTTTGGAAGAGGTTTCTACACATATCCCAAAAGCAAACATATTTTATTTCTTCCATTCCACCAGGAGCATGGAATTTGTAAGGACCTTGTGAGTGAAATGATTTGCTGCTAGTGCACCATCAACGTAAAGCCTTTTACATCCTATGGAGGGAAGTGCCTAGTGAAGCAGGGGTAGCATTATGCCTGTCTTCCGGTAGTACCCAATCAAATCCTGAACACCTGTACCAACAAGCGTCATCTCTCCCCAGACCCATGTCCTTTTTCCAACCTTTCTTGTGAGCACTTGTGTAGGCTTGTTGAAAATATCCTGAGATTAATTACAAACTTTCTCTGTTTCTAGAACTCTTATGTATGTGAGATTGATATGCTAGTCTGCACTTGACCCTTAAGATTTTATAAAAGTATCAGCTGATGTTATCTTACCCACATTTATGGCAATCACCTCTTTCTCGAAATGCTAAGAAGGGATATTTTCACCTCTTGAAATACAGGGTTTTAATTTTTTTTTCTCTGATGGGCTCAATAAAATGTATGATTTTATAGATTATTTGTTTTTCTTTTCTCATTTTTTTTAAATTGGAGATGACATTCTCACAATTTTCTACATTCTAAGTCAGAACTCTCCTTTAATATTTTACTTATTTGTATGGATTTTCAACAGTCTAGAAACAAGACCTTTCCATATCATATTGACCATACATTCTAAGTCAGAACTCTCCTTTAATATTTTACTTTTTATTTGTATGGATTTTCAACAGTCTAGAAACAAAACCTTTCCATATCATATTGACCGATATTTAGATCCTGATTTTAAACAAAATTAAGACACATTAGACATCTAGTGAAAAATTAGAGTGAGATACTGTTTTAGAGTTAACATATTCTGATTGAAGATCACAATTTAGTATGTATATAGTACATACTTATGCTTCAGTGTTTTCTGAGCATTGCTTAAATGGAAATGATCCCTAAAACTAATTAAAATCAAATTAAATAAAATCAAAACTTGCTTCAGCCCCTTTTGTAATTAACACAACTCCAAATGGCAATAATTTTAAGTAGTAATTCTTGACTGCCAAGCTTCTTACCTTATGTAATGGGCGATGGTAAACATATTGTTCATTTATTTAGAAAAACTAACTCAACTTTGGAATTCTTAGGTGCTGTTATAAATAAATATAACTAAATAGCTTCAATTGTTATTTAGGTATCAATGTATTTTCACCATCCAGGAGTCAAAAAAATGATTTTTCTAGCAAGGAAAAACCTGTTTTGATATTATTGTCAACCCCATTTTAGTCTTACTACTACAGCAAAGTTTATTATTAAAATTAAAATGTGTATAGTATTTGTTGCCATTTCTTTAGTTCATTCAGTCTTTTAACTAATATTTATTCAGTACCTCTACTGTGCGAGGGTCTATATTAGGTACAAGGATAAACAAATGTGGACAAGTAGATATGGTTGCTGTTTAATTTGCTTATAGTCCAGTGGGAATGGAAAGGGAAGTGTATGCCAAAAATAACACACTGTAATAAATGCTACATTTAAAACATATATGGTCATATAACTATTACTTAGGCAGGAAAACAGAAAACATGTCTCTTTTTGCTGGATTATTCAGTGTGTAGATATGAACTAGGCACCACATTCATTATATGTTATTCTGTCAATGTCCATCTATTTAGCTTCTGAAGTCTACACAATATCAGAAAAGAGATTTGAACTTCATGAGATGGAAAGGAAGTTCTATTTGAAATTTAAAATGTAGTTGCCAGTTTTCCTCTAAAATACAGGTGACAAACTTTGCTAATTCATGTGGAATATAATTTTTTCCTGAATAGACAATATGGTTGATAATATATTGAACACCAACTTCAATCTCAAGAAGCAATCAATATAAAAGGGATGGCAGATATGCAAAATGAAGTAGCTTGATCTCAAATGTAATTACATATATCAGTGCATTATTTTTATTTCCAATAACTTAGAAGCTGTGTGATAAACAAGTCCACTTGAGGACAAGTGAACTGAATAGGACCACAAGTTTCTATGTTAACTTCTGATGGGATTAACACCAGCACATAAACAACATTATGGTTTTCTTGTTTACCAGTACCAGCTTATTAAGATGAGTTAATTCACAACAAATTACAAAGCATATGCCATGCACCTTCAAATAATTAGCTTCCAAATACAGGGAAGTCTTTTTTGGATAACACTGTTTATAGGCATTGTTTTAGATTCTAATGATAAAGTAGATACATCTCATGGTACTCATCCTATATAATAAAGAGTTAATATGCTAATTAGGCTGGACAGCGAAATGACCTTCCGGAATGACTTTCCTGGACTACCTTCCGGAACAACCAGTGGGTCGGGGGTGGGGCTGCGAGGCAGCTGAGGCTGCTGTAAGGGCCGACCCCCTTGAATGAGTTTCATGCATTGGGCCTCTAGTATTCTTATATGTGGAAGAAGGACAACAAATAATGAGAAGAATGAATTTTAGATAGTGATAAGTGCTATAAAGAACAAAACAGGCTATTGCCATAGGGAAAATATACATTGGACAGGAGCTGAGAATGTATTTTATTATTTTATTTATTTTTATTACTTTTTATTTTTTTAATTCTCACCTGAGGATATTTTCCCACTGATTTTTAGAGAGAGTACAGAGAGAGGGAAAGACAGAGAGAAACATCAATGTGAGAGAAACACATCAATTGGTTGCTTCCTGCAAGAGCCCTGACTAAGGCCTGTGCCGGGGAGGAGCCTGTAACCGAAGTTACATGTCCTTGATCAGAATCAAACCCAGGACCCTTCAATCTGCAGACCAATGCTCTATCCACTAGCCTAACCAGCTAGGGCAGTGGTTGGCAAACCGCAGCTCACGAGCCACATGCGGCTCTTTGGCCCCTTGAGTGTGGCTCTTCCACAAAATACCACATGTGGGCGCGCACGTACAGTGCGAAGTTGACTTAAAACTTTAAATAAAGTTTATTAAGTTAATTTTAGGGAACGTTATGGAGTGAAATAAGATGTAGTGTTGAGGATTGAGAAAGGTATGTTGAGATGGTTTGGACATATAGAGAGGATGAATGAAAGGAGAGAGATGAAACAAGTATACAAGACGAGTGTGGATGGGAGAGTTGGAAGGGGTTGACCTCAGTGAACGTACCTCAATCAGATTGAGGATGTTTTTAGCAAAGGCCAGCTTAGGAGTACCCTAATTAAGTTAATAACAATGTACCTACCTATATAGTTTAAGTTTAAAAAATTTGGCTCTCAAAAGAAATTTCAATCCTTGTACTGTTGATATTTGGCTCTGTTGACTAATGAGTTTGCCGATCACTGAGCTAGGGCTTGAGAATGTATTTTAGAATAATTTGTCAGAAAAGATAACTCTAAAGAGATGATATTTGAATGGTATTTAAGCTGGACCATGAATAATGATCAAAACTGACCTCCTGGCGGAAGATCATACCAGGTCCAGGCAAGTAAATGCATAAAATCTCTGAACAGCCCTAGCCGGTTTGGTTCAGTGGATAGAGCATTGGCCTGCGGACTAAAGGGTTGCAGGTTCGATTCTGGCCAAGGGTATATGCTTGGGTTGCGGGCTTGACCCCAGTAGGGGACTTGCAGGAGGCAGCCTATCAATGATTCTCTCTCATCATTGATGTTTCTATCTATCTATCTCTCTTCCTTCCTCTCTAAAATCAATAAAAGTATATTTAAAAAATAATAAAAAAAAATAAAATCTCTGAACAAAAATTTACCTAACTTTTTTAATTGGCAATAGGAAGCATAAGTCAGTCCAAATGCAGAGAATAAGAAAGTGTTAAGATATTATGGTGCAGAAACAATTCAGTAGCTGATTATATATGGCCTTCAAGCATTCTCAGGCATTGCACTCTTTCTAATTGCTAAAGCAAACCATTGGATACTTTTGTATGAGAAATGAGGTGCTCTGAATTATAATTCAGATTACTCAACAAAATTCTACTTAGAATCAGGAATTTTGTGGGAAGTTAAGAATGTAACAACATATGACTTGGACCCTCTCATCAAGTAGTTGAGCCTATTGTTCTTTTAATCTCAAGTAGACCAGTGAAACTAAGGACCATACATGATACTCCACCACTGTATTTAGCTTGCCAGACAGGATCTTAGAGTCATGATCTTTAAGAGTAATGTGTTTTAGACTGCTCAATAGCAATATTTTCCATCTATTACTACCTCTATTGCCATTCAAAGTATAATTAAAGTGTTATTTTTTATTTTTGAGTAAGATAAATTCTAATTTTTCTATTTTACTATTCAAGTTTAAAAACAGCTGTTTCCTTTAAGAAAAAACTAGAGGTATTTGCTAATGGTCTGGATAGATTTTAGTGTAGGTGAATTCTGATGCGTCTACTTAAATGCTATTTTTAGTTTTAAAAATATTTACAAACAACTATCA